CGGAACACTTCTAGTGTCCGAATATAGCCGTCCAATATATCAATCTTTATGTCTCGACCATTTCGAGACTCCTCGTTATGTTTGTGATCATATCCGGGACTCCAAACTGACTTCGGTACATCGAAACTCATAAACTCATAATATAACTGTCATCGAAACTTTAAGCGTGCGGACCCTACGGGTTCGAGAACAATGTAGACATGACCGAGACACGTCTCCGGTCAATAACCAATAGCGGAACCTGGATGCTCATATTGGCTCCCACATATTCTACGAAGATCTTTATCGGTCAGACCGCATAACAACATACGTTGTTCCCTTTGTCATCGGTATGTTACTTGCCCGAGATTCGATCGTCGGTATCTCAATACCTAGTTCAATCTCGTTACCGGCAAGTCTCTTTACTCGTTTCGTAATACATCATCTTGCAACTAACTCATTAGTTGTAATGCTTGCAAGGCTTTATGTGATGTGCTTTACCGAGAGGGCCCAGAGATACATCTCCGACATTCGGAGTGACAAATCCTAATCTCGAAATACGCCAACCCAACATGTACCTTTGGAGACACCTGTAGAGCACCTTTATAATCACCCATTTACGTTGTGCCGTTTGGTAGCACACAAAGTGTTCCTCCGGCAAACGGGAGTTGCATAATCTCATAGTCATAGGAACATGTATAAGTCATGAAGAAAGCAATAGCAACATACTAAACGATCGGGTGCTAAGCTAATGGAATGGGTCATGTCAATCAGATCATTCACCTAATGATGTGACCCCGTTAATCAAATAACAACTTTTTGTCCATGGTTAGCAAACATAACCATCTTTGATTAACGAGCTAGTCAAGTAGAGGCATACTAGTGACACTCTGTTTGTCTATGTATTCACACATGTATTATGTTTCCGGCTAATACATTTCTAGCATGAATAATAAACATTTATCATGATGTAAGGAAATAAATAATAACTTTATTATTGCCTCTAGGGCATATTTCCTTCATATACCTCCTCTTGCAGATCTCCATGGAGAAAAGCATTTTTAACATCCATCTACAACAATTTCCACTTCTGATTTGCAGCTATCGAGATTAAAGTCCTGACAGTACTCAATTTCTCCACTGGAGCAAACGCTTCATCATAATCCACTCCGTAAGTTTGACTATACCCTTTTGCAACTAGCCTAGCCTTACATCTTTCCACCTTACCATCTGGAGTTTGTTTAACTGTAAATACCCATTTACAACCCACAACTTTCTTATCTACAGGGAGAGAAGTAAGTACCCATGTTTGGTTCTTATCAAGTGCTGCCATTTCCTCTAACATTGCCGCCCTCCATTCTGGGTATTGCTTCGCTTCCTGCCAGTCACGTGGTATAGGTAAAGTTGAATCCAAGGAAGCTATAAATGACTTATACAAAGGCCCAATAGAACTGTATGTAACATAATTAGAGACATCATATGGGGCTAATTTAGAGGGCAATTTTCCAGCAATAGTGTGAGGCTGCTTTCTAAGGGCAATGGGAACATTTAAGTCATCATAAGCAAGAGGAGGTATACCATCGCTTGTGGAGACCGGTAGTGGAGTATGAGATGAAGCTGATGGTTGTGAACTGGAATCATGCCCGTCGGATTGAACTTGAGCTTCTGAATCATCCTCCGCTGGACTAATTTCCTCCCCCTGCACATGTTCTTCCTCAGTTTGATGTCTCCGCGTATACACCCGCAGATTTTGTTCTTCATTCGGTCTTGCCCACCGCATAACTTCAGTTGATGTATTTTGTCTCTCCCCTTGCATAGTTCGTCCTGGTTCTCCTTCTATAAGATCCACATCTATATTATCATTTTTGTCTTCCAATGGTATTACTCCAACCACCATTTCTCTTGATGGTGCAGAATTGCTCTCTTCTCCTTCTTTTTCTCCCCATGTCCCGTTGTCCAGATCTGAAACATCACTAGAAAACAGATCAGGAAAGACATCGGTTAAATCATCAGATTCCCCATAAAATGGTACTTGTTCCCTGAAGATTACATCCATGCTCACAAACATTCATTTTTCTGATGGACACCAACAATTATAGCCTTTCTGCTTCCCAGAATACCCCACAAACACACACTTCACAGCCCTTGGATCTAACTTTCCAACAAATGGCCTGTAATCTTTCACAAAACACACACACCCGAACACCTTTGGTGGAACCACATATGTAGTCCTACCTGTCAGACACTCTATTGGAGTTTTGTAACCAAGAACTCTAGATGGCATTCTGTTCATCAAGTATGCAGCAGTCATTACTGCCTCACTCCACAGAAATTTTGGAACATTCATGGCCATCATGATACACCGTGTAATCTCTAAGAGATGCCTATTTTTTCTCTCAGCCAAGCCATTCTGTTCAGAGGTACCAGGACAAGTAGTTTGATGAATAATTCCAAAGCTTGATAAATATTCGTCAAACTCCTTATTCACATATTCCGTGCCATTATCAGTACGAAGTACTTTCACGCATGCATTATATTGGGTCATGATTAAATTATGAAAATCCCTAAAACATTCAAATACATCACTCTTGTTTTTCAACACATAGACCCAAGTAGTCCTAGTGCAGCAGTCAATGAATGTGACAAAAGAGCGATATCCATTAAGAAATAATACTCCGCTAGGACCCCATACATCCGAGTGGATGGTCTAAAGCGGTACAGTACTCCTATTATCAGAAGATACATAAGTACTCCTAGTCTGTTTCCCATAGTGGCATGCATCACATACTAGATTCTCTTTGCTAATTTTATTATACAGGTTTGGATAAAGCTGATCCAAAATGACAAAAGACAAATGTCCTAGCCTGCGATGAAGAAGAAGAAATTCCTCCAGTGGAGAGTGAGATAACAAAGCAGCAACAATAGGTGACATTGTTATCATCTAAGTAGTACATGCCACCACGCATGCTCCCTGTCCCAAGCCTTCTTCCAGTCCCAAGTTCCTGAAATAAGCACCATGATGGGAAGAAGATAGCAACACAATTAAGCTCGTTTGTAATGCAACTAATGGATAGCAGATTAATTGGGAACGAGGGAACATGCAGAACAGATGAAAGATGCATATTAGATCCACACTTGACTGTTCCTGACCCTAGAACAGTTTGAGAGGAGCCATCAGCCAATTTGACACTTTACCTTTTTAAATCAGGAGCATAGTCAATAAAATTTCTATAAGAACCAGCCATATGTCTAGAAGCCCCAGAGTCAATTAACCATGGTATATAAGCAACTTCATAATTCATAGTGCAAGAACTTTTACGACCAAAGTTGGCAAATGCAGCAGAAGTGGATGCAATAGAAGCCTCGATAGATTGCTTATCCTCCAAACACATTCCCTTAAATTTGCTCCACCTCTTCCAGTCATCGACTAACATCTCTACTTTCATAGTTTGTGGGGCTTCTTCAATAACTGATGAGATATTTGCCCTGCCAGTAGGTCGCACACGACGCCCCCGGTTACCTCCACGTCCATCAAATACACGTCCACGACCCTGCCACGCCACTCTTGTCCTCTACCCCGGCCTGCTCCAACTAATTCAGGACAAGAGACTCGCAAGTGTCCTGGCTGGCCACATTCAAAACATTTCTTCTCATATATACTTGCTCCTGATCTTTGAAAAATTGCCCCTTCTGTAGCAAGGAAGGTTGAGCGCCTCTGTACGACGCCTTGTGTAGACGATCCTGTAGCCTCCAGCTTGAACCGAGTTTCCTCACTAATAATTGCAGATATTGCTTGCTCCAGGTTAGGTAGTTTCCCACTACCATACAATGCAGCCCTTCTGTTTTCAAACTTAGAATTAATTCCATTCAGAAAATCCCTAACACGCCTCCTCTCGGTCCATTTATTGTATTTTTCAATGCACTTGCCACACTCCATCTCAATTGGATCATAATAATCCAAATCGCTCCAAAGTCGTTTCAGCTCAGAAACATAGTCAACCACTGTCTTCTCGCCTTGACTCAGGTCCTGCAACTCCTTCTGAATCTTGCAAGCAAGCATTTCATTTCCTACTCCTGAGAATGTCCCTTTCAATAATCTCCAGATTTCAGAAGCTTTTTTAATCCTTTCAATTTTCTTAGAGATCTGAGGTGATACTGAGCTCAATAACTAGGCCCTCACAAGTGCATTTGTCGCCTTCCACTTCTGGCCTTCTTTGGAACTCTCATCTGCAGGCTTCTCCACCATGCCTAAAATATAACCTTCAAGCTTCCTAGAGACCAAAATGGTCTCTGTATGCTTTGCCCAACTCACATAACTCTCAGGCCCTTCTAATTTTACATGGGGCATTTGCAAAGGGTGCACCTCTTCTTTTATCTCCACTTCTGATCTTGAGTTCCCTGCTTGCTTGTTAATTGCATCAAACAACACCCGATACTTCTCATCCATTGCCTGCAAAACAGCAGCAAGCTCCCCCGTTGTGACTCCTGCTGGGGCATTTTCATTGCCTGCCATACCTTCAGTTCCTCCACACCCAGCACACACACCTCAGACTGAGTACCCAAATGCCTGACCTGTTCAGCTCCAGCAACGAAGGGAATGCTCAAATCAAGTCACCGCAGCGGCTGAACCTCGTTGCCTGTTGACGTCCGACGCGCCCTTGTTGACCAGCGCTGCGCCTCAACTGCCGCCAGTCACACTCCTCCACCACAGCCGACCAACCCAGCCCCGATTCAGCTCTCCACCACCGCAAATTAGGCCCCCAAGCCACCCTGCTCTGATGCCATGTTGTGGAACACACACCTAATCAGAGAGGAGTCGAAGGTGAGAGAAGGGGAAGACACTGGAATTTCTGGTCGGGGCAACCTCATCCATTCATCCTCAGTACAGATATTTACAGAGCTTCACTTTTACACATAAGACCTCTAGCTTTCCTATTATACAACAAGAGTACCGACATGGACCTCTGTTCCTGGTGTTTGCATGAGTGCCGGTGTGATTTTAAGTACTACAGCAAGTTCGTATACGTGGAGGTGAGTTGAAGGTATACGGCCAGTCGAGCTGTGAGATCATGTGTTCGATCCTTTGGAAAAGCTAATATGTGAGCCTGATGGCTCTAGTCTACTGAGTTCCTAGCAAATAATTTTAGCAAATGGGTTGATTAGTTCTAGAGGACTCAATATCCCCATATGCACCATGTTTTAAGATTTAAAAGATAGATGTGAATTTTTCAGTGATTACCAGTCAATACAATGGACCCCTGCCATGTAATGCTGAAGTCAATTATGGACGACAACGGGTGTTAACTTAGCTCAAATACGAGTAGTGCTGAATTTCTCTTTACTTTTATGTATTTTACCTAACTATAATTGATCTTTTAGGTTGGATTTACCAATGGCGGGAAGATACTGGCCTTAGACCTTGAAATTTATAACAATGGCGGCAACTCACTAGATCTGTCCCTTGCAGTCTTGGAGCATGCTATGTTTGAGTCGGAAAATGTCTATGATATACCAAATATAAGAGTCAGTGGGAAAGTATGCTTTACAAATTTCCCAAGCAATACTGCCTTTAGAGGTTTTGGTGGTCCACAAGGTATGTTGATCGCAGAGAATTGGATTCATCACATGGCTATGGAACTCAAGCGGACTCCAGAGGAGATAAAAGTAAGCATGGCCATCTTCATGGGTGGTGCTATCCTTGTCACCTAATTTTTCTTGGTAATTGATGTACTGTTTTCAGGAACTTAATTTCCATAGTGATAGAGCTGTGCTTTATTATGGCCAGTTGGTGCAGAACTGTACAATACATTCGGTTTGGGATGAACTAAAGGCATCTTCTAATTTTGTGGAGGCTCGCGAAGCTGTAAATGTCTTTAACAGCAATAATCGTTGGAGGAAGCGAGGAATTGCTATGGTTCCCACAAAATTTGGCATATCATTCACTACAAAATTTATGAACCAGGTGAATAGCTCCCCCTCACAAACTCCATAAGAAACCTCTACTACATTTGTGTAATCTCTATATAAACATTTTTATTGGGTTAGTATCTTTTGTATGACCCCGCAAAAAAAGTATCTTTTCTATGAACAATTTTACTTCTTTGTACTTACTATATGATGAACTGAGCCACAACAAAATTATGGCAAACTTATGAATTTGGCATTGCTACTTGGTAGGTCCTTGTTGGGACAACAGACATCCCCTGTCTGGGGATGGGGTCGTTGTCATCAGATTTGTACCCCAGAACACACAATTATATTATGTTGCCAGCAGTGTACCATGTCGCTGGTGCTTGTACCAGATGAAGAATTTGCAGTATTATATACCTTGATCGGTGTGGATCATGCATTTGGATGAAGTTCCTCTAAAATTTACTGTATCTTGTGCCATTTCTGGCAAGTGTATACTCCAGTACAATGATGATATTCTGAATCATTGTTTAAATTATAGATGTTCTATTGTAAAATATTAAACAAGTAAATACCTTAGCTATGGCTTACATTATGTTTGGTTACGTCGTTATTCAATCTGACACAAGTTTATATGGGTAAACAATTGCAGGCTGGTGCTCTTGTGCAAGTTTACACTGATGGTACTATCCTGATAATGCATGGTGGGGTTGAGATGGGGCAGGGTTTACACACAAAGATAGCGCAAGTTGCTGCCTCGTCACTAGATATCCCTCTAAGCTGTGTATTTATCTCAGAGACAAGTACAGACAAGGTGAGGTTTAGAACCCATTGCTGGTAGGGAATATCCCTCTATACATAAGACATATCTACTTCGTCTTCATTTGTATATCGTACTTTTTCTGTTACTATCGATGGGGTGATCACACATTTCATATGCTTAGGTTCCAAATGCTTCACCAACAGCAGCTTCTGCCAGTTCTGATTTGTATGGTGCTGCAGTTTTGGATGCTTGTCAGCAAATAATGGCTCGGATGGAACCCATTGCTAGTAGGGGCAACTACAAGTCTTTTGCTGAGGTAATGTTATCAACGTGTCAATATCCTTAGTCTCTCACATTTATCCTCAAGCACAGCTTAGAGGGATCTGTACTTGATCCCCAAGCACCCTGGGGAAAACCCTCAGTCCCTCACCTTGATGCCCAAGCACCCTCAGGGAAACCCTCAGTCCCTCACCTTATCCCCAAGCACCAACTACCGTTGATATCTGAATCAGAGACCCAAATATAAGTTCTCTCACCACATAGGTATGATTGGTCCTTGGTAGAGAAAGCTTTGTGCTTCCCTAGCTTACGGCATCTGCATTTTGTAATTAACATGTACTGCCATGCAGTTGCTACCTCCAGGATTGCATTATGCAACCCTTTTATGTGCTGTAGGTGCTAGGTACTGAATTTCTCCTTCATCCGGAGAAGTGGCAGTGATGTCATCTTTGCCCTCTCTCATTTCACAGCGCACCACTAGGGCTTACAATTCGAGGTCACCCCCTTTGGGACCATGCTTGGTTAAAAACTCGACAGGGTGTGCCATCGAAATAATAATGTTGACTTATATGAAAAATATGGTGTTAGACAAAGGCTTCAGTTCAGCTTTACAAGTTTTCAAAATTAAATTAATTAAAAATATATATTATTCCAGCAGTTCAATTAATTTTGGTGTGGCCTTCTGTTTTTTCCAGTTAGCTGAAGCATGCTACATGGAACGAGTAGATCTTTCTGCTCATGGGTTTTATATCACCCCCGATATTGGGTTTGACTGGGTTGCTGGCAAGGGAACTCCATTTAACTATTTCACCTATGGAGCTGCATTTGCAGAAGTTGAGATTGACACCTTAACTGGGGATTTCCACACAAGGAGAGCTGATATTGTCATGGATCTAGGCTATTCAATTGATCCAACAATTGATATTGGCCAGGTATGTTTACATGGTACGATAGAGTAGGATTCTGGAGCATCAATATCCTTCTCCCATATATTTCCTTTTGGATTCTTCTGTTAACTTCGATGGCTTATTCCAGATTGAAGGAGCTTTCATCCAAGGTTTGGGTTGGGCTGCCATGGAAGAGCTAAAATGGGGGGATGACAACCACAAGTGGATCCGACCTGGACACCTTTTCACTCATGGACCCGGCTCTTACAAAATACCCTCTGTAAATGATATACCTCTCAATTTCAAGGATTCACTGTTGAAGGTAAGTTCTCATTTTTGCATAAGTTGGATTTCAAATATTACAATAGAAAAAGGGCCCTGCTTCGGTAGACCCCCCCCCCCCAACAAAATGTAGAAGGGCATAATGGTCATACGGAAGAAACGTATGCCCACCTCCTATCATACCGTATAGACCGACGTCCGTATACCTTGACGAATAAAAAAACCGCCGCACGTGTAGAGGAAAAAAGTCAGCTGCACGATCTTCTCGCCCGCCCGACGATCACACACATCGATCACGCCCAGTTTCCAACTATGCGATCGCCGCGGACTGAACCCCATCCGACGCCACATCTGAACGTCGCCGCGGATCCGTCCCGCGTCGTCCTACGCCGGCGACGTCTACACCGCGGCCCTCGTTTCCAGGTCGCGGCCGTCTTCCATCTAACCCTCGTCTTGCACGTCGCCGTCGGACGGCTTGTCGGCTGCGACTGACCGCGCTGTCGTCCGCACGCCGCGGATCCGGCCCTGCATCGACCTACGTCGGCGACGTCTACACCGTGGCCCTCGTCTTCCACGTCGCTGCCGTCTTCCATCTAACCCTCGTGTTGCACGTCGCCGCTGTCTACTCCACGGCCGAAGGTTTGCCATCTAATCTCCTCGTCTAAACCTAGCATGCTAGATGATATGAGTCACACATAGTGATCTAGGGTTTATGGTTGAGTAAACATGTCGTCGCAGCGGCGCCTCCCCGGACGACCGCATGTTGTAGGCAGATAGAGTTGCACTTGGGCATGATCCACGGTACAAACTTAACACATGATGAATTCACAATGTTATGCAGTTTGGTCAGTTAGGTGTGTTGCCATGGATGAACAAACCGCATTGACGGGGGATGATAATGGTACTAATAAGGCAACTCGGAATGATAACGATATTTTTAATGAAGATGATGAGAGCAGCGACAACGATTCCGTGTCGTCGTTTGATATCTTGCCTCCGGAGGATTTTGATCATAATGAACATGGCGCAAATAGTGAAAACTTAAGTGCCGTATATTTTGATTTCATCTTTGAACCTGCAATGTATGGCATGGCTAACTATCTCTCTATGTATACAAATTTGGAGGAAGATGTGGATGTTGACAATGTGGAAAATAGTTTACAGGAATCATTCGCGGATAACTTGAGCCAGGTTCGTAGATAGATGTTGTACATCGATGAATATTATGAATTAAATGATAGTAGTTAACATATACATTTTCATATGAATTTTGTAGGAGGAGTCAGATGGTATTAGCGGTGATCACGATGAGGGGGAGATCGACATTGAGGAGGCTCGAAGGCAGCAGCAAATTGTGGATACACATTGGAAGGTGATGGCTATGACCTTTCGGTCGCAAGGTGATGCATACATATTCTATAACAATCACGCCAAAGAGAACAGGTTTAGCATCAGAAAATAGAAAGTCAAACGAGGTGCTTCAGGAATGATACGATACCGGATATTTCTTTGCTCCAGGGCAGGTAGAAGGCAGAGCAAGTTTATAACCATGGAGGGCCGCAAGCGCAGGCTTAGACCGGAGACTCATTGCGATTGCGGTGCACATATGGTGGTGAAGCTCGACAGAGAACGTGGTGTTTGGTTTGTCGCGCCATTCGTGGATGATCACAACCACGCGATGGCTAGGCCCGACGAGGTTTGTTTTCTGTGGTCTCACAGACGGATTGGAGAAGGCACGAGGGCAGAGATATTGGCGTTGGAAGCTGCCGGGATAAGAAAGCATATAATAATGGACAATTTTATCAGCAGATACGGTTCGTACGATAAGTGCGGGCTTATCAGGAGGGATATTTACAATCTTTGTTGCAGAGAAAAAATGAAGCTCATCGCAAAAGGTGACGCAGAGACGGCAGTTGGCATTATGAGGAGCAGGAAGGAGAAGGACCCTGAGTTTTTTTTGAGTATGCGCGTGACAAGGAAGGGCGACTGAAGAGTATGTTTTGGTGTGATGCACAGTCGCGGAGGGACTATCAGGACTACGGAGATGTGGTTGTGTTTGATAGCACGTATAAGATGAACAAATATGGTATGCCGTTCGTCCCCTTTGTCGGAGTTAACAACCACCGTTGCACCACAGTGTTTGGATGTGCCATAATTGCTGACGAGACGGAAGGGACATATGTGTGGCTGCTGCAGACATTTATGAAGGCAAACTGTCAGGTGAAGCCAAAGTCAATAATCACAGATGGTGACGCTGCAATGATCCGGGCTATTCGGACTGTGCTTTCAGATGTTTTCCATCGTCTTTGCTCCTGGCATATCGAGAAAAATATGCAGAGGCACCTGCATTACAAGTCACTGGATGAGTTCAGATCGCTCCTATACTATGCCACCTCTCAAGCGAACTTTGATCAGAGATGGACCGCTTTCTATAATAAGTGGAAGACGGATAGAACTAAAGAGTGGCTTGACAGGATGTACAGGAAGAAGAGACTTTGGGCAGCTTCATATCTTTCCGATGGTTTTTTCCTTGGTATGCGAAGTAACCAGAGAAGCGAAAGCCTCAACTCTTGCCTTCACCTACACCTGGACTACGGTATGACAATAGTTGATTTGGTTGTGCATTATGAGAACTGTATAGTTCGCCCGCGTGAGAATGAGGCGTACGATGACTGTGAGGCACACCAAAAAGAACCACCGTCGGTTACTGAATATAAGGCACTTGAGGAGCATGCCGCCAAAGTATTCACACCTGCTAATTTTTACATCCTGCAAGATGATTTGCACAAGATGGGTCAGCTGGAGATATTTGAGACGCTCGTGGGAATTGAGCGTCAGACATATATGGTGACATGGAAGGATAACCACAAGTTCATGTATAATGTTGTTTATGAACCAGGTAACTCAGAAGAAACTATAACATGCAGTTGTCTTAGGATGGTTCGGAAAGGCCTGCCATGCAAACACATTCCTTTTGTTCTCCATCATCTGAGCATAACTGAAATACCAAAGTGTTGTGTCCCTCATCGGTTGTCAAAAAATGCGAGAGATGGATTGCCTGTGCAGCGGAAGAGTGATATGTTTGGATGGGGTTGGTCAGGACCATTAGAGAGAGACCGGTATAGTCAAATAAGCATAAAAACCGCGGAGGCAGCTCATGTTGCAGCAAATGATCCCTTCTTGTTTGACAAGTTGATGAAGTGTTTGGACAACATAATAGCGCAGAAAAAGATACCAGAGGAGGAACTTATAGGAAGTAGAAGGTATGCTAAGCTTAAGAAGGAGGCAAGTCAAGCGCAACAAGTTGAGCCTGGTATTGGTGATCCTGAGAAAGTTTCGACGAAGGGTGCACCTAAGAAGGGGCGGTCAAAGGGGGGCCCCCGATGTTACAAAGAATGGTAGGCCAAAAGATTTTACAGAGAAAAAAGTGGTCCTTTGTGCAGTCTGTGTAGTCTACCAGGTCATAACAAGGCTACATGTCGAAAAAACCAGAAGTAAGATGCTACCTTCTTATTTTTTGTTATGTTGGTACTTCGGTTTTACAAACTATATTTTCTCACCCATATTTTTATGTTATGTTCAGGAATTGGGCGTAGAGAAGCATCTTGCTATGTTGGAAGAATAAAAATGGTCGCATGAGTCTAGTACGAATAAACTATGTTGTTTCTTGTTCGTACTTGTGTGGCAGAAAACTTTATGTCTCGATTTATTTATGTGTGATGAAAATACTTATGTGAACATATGTGATATGACACATCATATTTGTTTAATGAATTGTCATCTTATTTGTACTGCTATATGAAAGAGTTCACAGTTTTAATATGCTGCGTTTTTGTTACTGTACCTGTTGCAAAAAACATGGCCGACCGTCGTTGTGCAAAAAAACATAGCCGACCATCGTTGTCCAAAAGTTGCCCGACCGGCAGCTGGACCGCAAGTTGGGATATATTCCCAACCCAAATCAAGCCAACGAGGCGACTCGGGAGGTCCATATAAAGCCCATCAAGGGCCTAGCAGCCGGGTCCAACGGGGCGGCGATTTCAAGCAGTACTAGCAGAGGAGTTCGACCTGTGTAGCACGCCGGCATATTTAAGCTGGTCCTCACCCCCGTCAGCTTCCGAGGTGGGACTAAACTCCTTCGTCGGGCACGCGAGGCGACGGTGACTGGGCCGGGGAGGGGCGAGGCTGGGCCTGTCGTACTGGGCCGACATGGGTCGGGCGGCGACATTGCAATAAATGGAGCCTCGTCAGCATTGTGTCGACCGCATCGCCTTATTTAGTCCCACCTCGCCAACGGAAGGGCGCACCGACCGGCTTAAATAGCCGCGTCGGCTGTTTCTCTCGAACTCCTCTGTTACAAGCTCCTTGTCAGCCCCGTTGGCCTACTTGTGGGCCCTTGTGGGGTCCGCATCGACCGCCCGAGTCGCCTGTCGGCTAGATTTGGGTTGGATGCACAGTCCCTGGGTCCACAAGGGAAGGTCGGGCTGTTTTTTTTTCTAGTCAAATTTTTTTTAGCAAACGAGAAGGCGTCCGCCTGCATTTATATGTGCATCTAAGAGCCAACAAACGGCGGCTGGCATTATCGTCACATAATAATATTGCACATAAAGCCAGCCATCTGCCTCCATTTATATGAAACTCTACGAGCCAGCAGACGGCGGCATCATCATCACATAAGCATATAGCACATAGCAGCTTAACATATATAGTTGGAAAATAAATATTGTAGCTAGTACCGACGACGACACCTTTATTTAGTTGCGGACGTGCATAATCATGCCCATTACAATAAGAAATGTCATAATATCAAAATTGTTCCTAGTGCCGTCAATGGCACGTTTATTTAGTTGCGATAATAAGAAAAAGAATGTTCTCATAGCCAAAAACCCATCAACAAACTAATTTCTTGTCCATGATCTTCAAAATCTTCTCTTTCACAGTTTCCATCGTGTTGCACTCTGAAAAAAGTATTTCAGCTAGAATGCGTCCCCTTGAAGCATTCACCTCAGCTTGATCAAACTCAAATATCCATTCATCTCC